TTTCCTCTAATCACCTAATATGAAGTTAGTTTACAATCGGGATCATTCACTTAGTCACAGCCGCTAGATAACATGAGGTTGCTTACTGTTTAGTAATGTCATAGTGCAAATTACTTCAACGTTCACTGAATAATATACATAAAAGGGGCATCAGTTTACTCCAAGAACAAATACTCATCTCATTATGATAATATAAGTCTTATTTTGGTCAAAGAATTAGGCACAAATACTAAAAAAATTGTTTGCCTCAAGTTCATTAAGGTATCTGATGACATTTTGCCAGAAAAACGCTCAATAACTCTATGATATGATAATAATAAATTTTTATTGAGGTTAGAAGAAAATGTGAGAGTGTAGATCAGTTAGTCGAGTTATATTTGAATAAACTGATCTCAGTGGATTTTTCTATTAAAGAGGATTTTAATAGAACGATGCATTCATTTCTAAAATATCAACAGTAGTTTGTTTTAACTTCTGACCAACATAAACGCCGGTTTCTTCCAATGATATACCTATATTGGGACTGAAATAATTGATTGAGTCAATAAACTTCATGCCAATTAGGGTGATTAAGAAAAAGAATATTAATACACGTTTAACTAGGAAATAGATGTATTTGTTCAAACTATCTATCTTCTAACTGTTAGTCTTTTGTTATCACTCTACTTATTTAAATAAATTTTAAAAAGAAAGTGTTTTATAAAGTAAATGGAAAGCAGTTAAACAGTTAGACAAGAAACAATTTTTTTGCTTTATACAGACATAAATAATTGTTCTACCTGTTTAATATTGACTTGTGTTAAATATACGAAAATAAAACAGTAAAACTTACATTGTAGTGAGAAATCCCCAAAAGAATTAAATCCTAGATGGAATTGTTTATCATTAACAATGGTGTTTATCAATTCCTTGCTGCCTTCTATTAATAGGTTTGATAGATCTTTAGGAGAGAGTAGTGAATAATCAGCTCCATTAAATGTTAGTATTGCGTTTAGTACAATTGAACCTTTGGAGAACTCTAAAAATGTACATTCTGGCTTCTCTAATCGACTTGTATTCGCATGCTGAAGGCTTTGTAGTAACTATTTTTTTTAAAAAAATTAAAAATTGAATAAAAACGATCGTAGAATAGATCCAGGTTATGAAAAGTGACTATAGTTATCGCTGACACAACTTCTGAGCTGAGAAACAACTGATGCAGCAGAATATAATCTTTTTTTACAAGACGATCTTAAAATGTGAAGCAAGTAAATATTTCAGTCCACCCTAATACCCAGGAATACGCTTTCTATTACACAGTATTTATGTAAGGTTGTGATTAAAATGCCTTAAGACAAAATCATTTACATTCTAAGTGAATTGTAGTATGGATATTGTTGAACAGCTCATTACTAAGAGCAATTAACTTAAGACGTATGTGTTGTATAAGATATTAGCACACATTCGGAATACCCATACGGTAAAATCAGGTGAACTGAAGCCAAACATATAAAAGCATTATAATTCGATGAAGTTGTTGAAGTTTTTTATTCGGTTTTTCCGGCTTTTATTATTAGTTAAGTGTTGAATTAAATCGCTCACTGCACCTACATAGTATATGTATAGTATAATCAGTATGTAGTTCTTCCCAGTAAAAATAGTTATTCCTTTGTAATTACTTAATTTATCTGTAGTTATTTAAAATCCCAACGGAATATTCAAAAAAAAAGAATATTTGCGCGAGCACTTCTATTCACTAACTTCCTTATCAGGCCCTACACAGTTATAAGTCCATAATGGTTATGTTAATTTACAAAGACGAAAATAAGGTATCCATTAATGAATTCGACAATGTTATATGTTAAAATGGTGAAGTCTACAATTTTTATGATATAAATACTTTAAGATTGTACGCTTTGTAAATTAGAGTCACCAAATCAATTAAAAGTCCCATCCTTTTTCTCACTTAGCAGATAGTGCAAATCATATTAAGATAAGTGAAAAAAACTTCACTATTTTACGACACATAACATTGTCTAATTTATTATTGCATGCCTCAGTTTCGTATTTGTAAACTAACGTAACAATTATGAACTTATAACTGTAGGATTAGATAATGAAGTTAGTGAAAAGAATTGTTTGCACAAATTTTCTTTATCTAAAGTTTATTTTATACAGTTATTAAGTAATCAAACGTTTTAAAACTATTCCCATTCAGATGTGATATATTTATATATATACATATATATTGCTTACAAATTCACAATAGCTGTTTGATAACAATTTGTATATTTTCGATTCTGGATCAGATAAATTATCATCCCAATTGTTCAATGGAGAATGAATTCTACTTTTAATCGAAATTGAATGTTTACCTGAAAAGACAACACAAATCAAAATTTAATACAATAATAAATTTTATATTTCAATCATATACATCTAATAGTAATAATAAATTAATTTGTCAACTGAAGGCCAATGATGAATAGTATTCATAAAAAATGATAGTCAAAAGTGACACTACATCATTAACTGAATGTAGTAGTGTGGTGCGAGCTACTTATAAGTAGTATATGACGTGAGTGTCAACGTAATGCCTAGCAGCAGAAGATGGGGGAAGATCAAGAAAGGAAGAGTTAGAACACAATGGAATTTGTATGAAACGCATGAATAGTGACAGTGGATTGATGTTTTGCAAGAGGAACAGTCCAGTTCGATATGATGGACTGATATTTTGCAAATTGACGATTTACGATATGGTTTTCCAATTTTACTGAGTAACTCTGTAATTTTCTCTAAATATAATCAGGTTGCCCCAACTGTGTTCTCGTTCACTACAGTAGTAGTGACATCTTTATTAGATAGACAGTTATGAATATCAGCTTATCCAAATTCATCTTCAAAACACCTTATCTTAATGAAGGAGTGTTGTGTTTAGTTATATCAACTCTCAGATTTACGCATAACTAGCTGTGAAGACACTGAATTATCATAAGTAAACCTTTTAGTAAATATAAGGTTTTACATAAATCTGAAATGATGTGGTTGGGATTCATTACTCACAAATAATAGCCATTTGTTAAACAGTGGTTATTGTTAGTCCCTAGAGCGTCAAAAAAGTTTTTTGCACTAGGATTCCATTGAGATGACCAACATTCATCTCAAATTTCTTATCCGCTTAAAGGCTAACTACCTCTAATCTTTCCATAAAGTGCGTGAATGCGCTTTATGTTGTATTCAATAAAAAAATTCATGATTTACTGTTAATAGTATGACTTTCGACGCCTAAAACTCTAACAATAAATGGAATGTAGAAGAATAGTTATTGTGTAAAATAAGAACTTATGAAGTCAAATCTAGTAACAACGTTTCTTCACTAACCAGTTAGGTCAATGATTAAAGCATTCAACTTTTCGAATCACCGGTATGCTAAATAGTTTATGATGGATGATATATGCTCCTGTCTGTTTAGTAATCAATACATATCAGATTTCTTGTGGTACAACCAATTTTTTAATTTGTTTAACAGTTTACTAATTTGTAAAAAACTAAACTACCTTCCTACTGAGACATATAACTTAATCTCTATAGTCATCCAACTTCACATAAACAAGCAACTATAAAAATTCTAAGGCGTTTTTTATTAAAAGATCGAGCATGATCAATAGCTACTTCTGAGCATACTGCTACATCTACATAAACTAAGTCATTTTGAACTTCAATTAATCAGAATAAATCAAAGTTGAGTTACTGTAAAGAGTGCACAATTATAATCCGGCTCAATCATGTAGTATAGCTATCACACGAGCAAAAATATTATATTAAGAAGCGATAAATCTTACCATTTAAAAAATCACCGTCGAGATTTTGTAAGTCACGCCTTTCTCGTAAATGTCGAAATCGTGACTTTTTTTGATATTTGGACTGTGATTCATCGTCGAACAAATCAAAGAATTTAATTGTAGGAAATTCACCGTAAACTTCAAAATTAATCTGTGGAACACGGATTGACTTCGGAGACTGTTTCTGTCCATCTGATAGTATCAGTTTGCTTGATAAATTAGAATTGTGAACTGTTTCACTTGGTAAAGTTTTATCTAATAAACCTCCAATCAATAATCCAATAAAGATTATAATCTTTGGAACATTAAATGTGAATAGATTCGTTCTTGTCATCTTATGTTATAGTCTAAAAAAATATATAAAAAATTTGAGATCATTGTTTACTTGTGGTACTGAACATATTTAATCAAGAATTAACAAGGAAACCGTTGGGGATGTTAGATTCCCAGAACTCGCTTGATAAATATCTTTATTTTGGATTTATTTCATGGACCGATCAGTTGACCTTGAGATCACATTTCCCACCAGGAAAATCCTTGGCTGTGATTGGTTACTGCGTCATTTTAGTGTGCTATTTTTGTGACTGTCCCAAGGACGTCTCTATGGAGTATAAATAAACGCAATTTGAGTGCTTGGATTTATTTTGTGCTGGCTGGGTGCTTGTAGAATACACTTTCTACACTATACCAAGACTTCTTGCTGATACAATTGGGACAATCGGATCACAGTAGCCAACCTTGACGCTGGTTCATTGTTTTGTTATCGTTATTCAACTAAGGTAAACCCTTAATAGTTTTAAGCATACCTAGAGACGAGCGTAACAAGAACAAAATCCTCTAAGGTAGATAATTAAAAGAAAAAAATTAGTGAAACTAAATTTGATATTCCTTTTTTCAGTCGGTATTTGAAGACAGAAATTAGTACCTCCTGAAAATTACTTATAAATAAGGATTGAAACATAAGAAATATCCTCTAATGTTTATTCCAATAATCTTCAGTAGTTATTGGTAACATGCTTTAAAATGTAGTTCGTCATTGATATTACACATTATAAAGTAAAATATGCATCTGTTAAATAACTAACTAAATAAAGCATTTGCAATGAAAGCGGCGAATTTCGAGTCTCACAAATTAGGAAACAACAATTTATGACCATAGAAAGTTCTGTTTACTATACCAACAGATGATATTTTCGAAATACTCGTAAATTTTGTACGAATCAGATAAACATCTGATAATAAGTTCCGAATAAAAACAAGGTTTAGGATAGATATAACTCAACAGCAATTTCGAACAACCTAAAATCAAATTCACTAAACAGTTTTACAAACTCCAAGCAGCTAAATTTGAGAAATGCAAACTTGAGACGTACAAATAACATCAGTATTAGTTAAGGCTACCTGCTTAGACAGATTCTGTGCTGAAATTGAGTACAGAAGCCTCTTATTATTCCATTCAATATACACCAAAGTAAACAAACGTTTAAACAGGGATTTGGTGAGATGACAGGAAAAGTACATCAATAAAAGAATATTCTGAATCGTTTTTATGCTGTGGTGGCCAATTTTGTTGACGTCCGGACCACCATTTGTGTACACTGGCGATCGAATGCGCGAAAGATTGAACGAAGCAGCGAATAAAACGAATGAATAGACGTGAATTGGAGAAGGCTAATGAGCCAACTCCTAGGATTACAATGCGAACGAATGGGCGAAGGAAGCGAATGAATAAGCGAAGCGTGTTAGAGAAGGCTAAAAGCCAACTTCCAGAAATAGAGCGTGACTAAGACTATATAGTCAGACAAATATAAGACAGACATATGACAAGCGAAATAGGCGTGCACACACATGAATAAAAGCGACGAATGATTGACAAGGTCAAATGACAAGTGGGACACGTCATGTGAGCTCATACAAACCAGACAATAATAAGGACGAATGGTACATATAAGTTGTTGCCCGCAAATGGCTGGGTTAAATACATTAATCGAAAGGGCTTAACCAAGTTAGATGTAAGCGAACTGGAATATATGTGGAGGCTCTATAGTGTGAGAATATTCGATAGTATATAAACCCATAGCAATTCAGCCTTGATGAAAGCACATTACTATTATATCATTTAGGTTTGACTTTGATGATGATTAGAAAAATAAATGTGACTAAACAATTTGTAATTGCATAATGCGATGAATATTACATAGTAGGCAACTCTTTGAAGTGAAGAATTACCAAGTATTAACCTAAAATACACAATTAAATCTTTTATAAAGTTAAGTTAACTGTACATTGCGTAATAGACTGAGTCGTTCTAAGTGATAAAAAGAAAGTCATAATTATTTGAAATGAATTATCAATTTAGGATTTCAGAAATTATAAATTTTCTGATGATAAAACTTTACGACTAATTATTCTTTTCTAAAACATGGTGCTGGAGACAATTTAAAAATTTTACTTCAATGAAAAGAATGTATAAAATGTTACGCGTATTAAAATAGTTGAAAATCACATTTGCATCTTGATTAAGTAATAGATAGGCAAGAATGATCAAGAACTTTATTCTTATTCATTCAGAGAAAACAGGATATTAAGTTTACCAGAATAAAGTTTTCAAGGTTACTTATCAAATTTACCAGTTCTTCGTTTGCTAAGGATATCGGAATGTATATTCATAGACTCAACTTTTCGTTCTCAAAATAAAAGTGTACAATCCATGCTATGGTCACGGATTAAGGAGTTGAGAAGCCTGAGGCCGGCGCTGAAGACTGTATTATGAAACTTTACACTCTTAGTCAATTAAAAACGAAAACATTACATTGAACAGTCTATTTGCACACCATCTTTGAGTCGTGACTTCCAACGCTCCATCCTTCTTCCATTCCTGCTCTTACTTCCTTTACTTCCTGTTGGTACTCTATTTACTTCTTGCTTTTGCTCCATTTGCTTTCCGTTCTCCTCTTCTGACCGTGAGAGTTCTTTCACGTCCCTTCTTATACTACTTATATCGTTCGTATAAGTAGCACACACCACAGAGTGTGCTTTAGCTAAACTTTGATTAACCCCCTTGCATTAATAATATCCTTCTTTTTTCACCATCACTAGTCGATTTATAGAAAAGTGTGATATTTTTTCAAGAAAATAATTTATAATGACACTAGTCACATAATTCTCACAACAGTATTGTTCATGAAAAGATGAAAATATTAATTCATTATTTAAATCAGTATGATAGATTAATAAAGACTTGTATCAGTGTGTACTAGATAAAACCAAAATGTGTGCACAATAAACTGTGTTCATCAAACATTTAAATAAAACTCACAAAAAATTAACGAATAAGATATGACGCGTTAAAATTTTATTATTTGTATTCATATATTTTTATACTACCTATTTTTAATTAATTTCATTTATTTGGAACTATTACTTTTCCGATAATTTACCTAAAGCTAAACCGGTAATATGGATCATCTAAGATATTTGTTATGTTTATGTGTAAATGACAACTGATCTTGAGAGCCTTTAGTCACTTTTAAATCTAAATCAAATCTGTTCTTCAGCTGTTCACCATGGATTTTATTTAGAAAGCCACAAGAAGTTCACAAATACCACAACTCGGTAAACACTTCTTTATCAAAATGATAACGATTTATTTTTTTGTAAAAAAAGGGATTTTTTAAAAACTCCAACTACAACTCTATGACACTAACGTAGTTCATCTAAAGAAATATTGACATAGTAATAACTTGTAAGATATTAGCTTGTATGTACAAGGCCCAACGTTCTAGAAGACATAATTCGTTGAGTTACACTATCCCGACCATTAGACTTATGTTTAGTGATTCTAAAATGTCACGGTTGTTATAAAAACTAGAGGCTTTCAATTTATTCTTTCATAGGATCAGAAATATACATTGATGAATGATCTCTAGGCTATTTTGTCACCAAAAGGTTCTAATGTAATTAATTATATGAACTACAAAATTCACCCGTGCTAACTAGTCCAATGAAAAAATCATTTAAAGTAAATCCTAAATCAACCGCCTGCACAAATGTACTTTTGAAAATTAAATTATTATTATTATTATTATCATTATTATTATTATTATTATTATTATTAATATCGCACCTCAATTGAAATATTGAACAAGCTAGCTTTCAAAAAAAACTACTTATTAAAGCTTAGCTTATTGACGAATTTAAGTGTGATCATGTCAAAAATGAAACTACTTTATTTATCTCTTTGACACATATATATATAGAAAAACTAGATTCAAATAAATTCTAGCTGTTGATAATAAACTAAATACATTGAAATTGGTATTCTTCAATAGTTTTCAGTCAGTCAGTCAGATGCAACGTAGAACTTCGTACGTAAGTACATCAGTTCATATTGCCATACCACATTAGCACACAGAGATATAATTGTCAATTCAAATCCAATAGTAGAAGAGGTAGTAAAGGTATTAGGAGTAATCGGAGAGGTTAGGATTAGAAGATATTATTCAAGAAGTATGATTTAATGAGAAAAGTTTAGAAAGTCAAAACTAGAGTTGTTGAAGAACCCAGAAGATTAGGATTTGAGAGAACACAAAGAATAAATGCACCGGCGCCATTGAGAACGATTTTGAGCCATGTCATTCAAGGTCTCTAACCATCGATTATTATCATCTCGCGGACCCCAACCAGGTAGTCGACAATTATAAACATGGCTAAGTCCACTCGTCAATGATTGCATGGATTTCTGCCATGTTTTGGCTTGGCCGCCCCTAACTTTCTTCCAACCTATTCCTACACTACAAAACAAGGCTCGACGAGGCAGTCGGTGGTTAGGCATACGCAACACATGTCCCAACCACCTCATCTGATTAAGTGTCACTACTGCGTCTATTGATCTGCCATTCTTACTTAGCACCCAATTCCTAATAACAGTGTTGCTCACTCGGGTGTCCCAGGATATACGATCAATGCTTCGGATACACCTATGATCGAAAACCAGTAATAGTTTTATTGATGTTTGATTGTCAAAAGTCAATAAACACGATGATTATTTACTTATTTATGAGTAAATGAATTGTTATATACTTCATTTAAAACACCTGAACAACTGATGACAAAGATTATTGCAGGATTGTTGATGGATTTGGTATATATATATATATACCAACACAAATATTATCTGATGTCACATATGAATAATAAAGATGGTATAAAAAAAAGGCTACATGAACTTCAGCAGAAAGTGAGTGATAAACTGATTACATTTATCTCTGTTTCAATCCCTTTTTGGTAAGATCATTAATTATGTCACATTATATTTAATACTCAACAATAAAC